CTTGTCCAAAAATATTGTTTTTCTAAGGTTTCAGAAGGGACGTTAGGGACTTTTTGGGCTCGATTTTGGCGCTGTTCCGTCCTTCAGGGCCACTGTGTTTCCCTGTCCGGGAGGATGCGTTTTCAGCCTCGGGAGGAAGAGCAGCAGCAGCAACAGGAGCAACAGGAGGGGTGTATGTCTCATTGTACAAACAGTGGTATAAAAATTGTCGAAAACCATACAACCTTGTCCAAAACTATTGTTTTTCTAGGGTTTCAGAAGGGACGTTAGGGACTTTTTGGGCTCGATTTTGGCGCTGTTTCGTCCTTCAGGGCCACTGTGTTTCCCTGTCCGGGAGGGTGCGTTTTCAGCCTCGGGAGGAAGAGCAGCAGCAGCAACAGGAGCAACAGGAGGGTTGTATGTCTCATTGTACAAACAGTGGTATAAAAATTGGTCGAAAACCATAAAACCTTATCCAAAATATTGTTTTTCTAGGGTTTCAGAAGGGACGTTAGGGACTTTTTGGGCTCGATTTTGGCGCTGTTTCGTCCTTCAGGGACCACTGTGTTTACATGTCAGGCGAGGGTGCGTTTGCAGCCTCGGGAGGAAGGAGGGGAAGAGCAGCAGCCAGCAACAGGAGCAAACAGGAGCGGTTCTATGTTCTCATGTACAAACAGCAGTGGTATAAAAATTGGGAGAAACCTGAAACCGTGGTATAAAAATATTGTTTTCTAGGGTTTCAGAAGGGACGTTTGGGACTTTTTGGGCTCGATTTTGGCGCTGTTCCGTCCTTCAGGGCCACTGTGTTTCCCTGTCCGGGAGGGTGCGTTTTCAGCCTCGGGAGGAAGAGCAGCAGCAGCAACAGGAGCAACAGGAGGGTTGTATGTCTCATTGTACAAACAGTGGTTTAAAAATTGGTCGAAAACCATAAAACCTTGTCCAAAACTATTATTTTTCTAGGGTTTCAGAAGGGACGTTAGGCACTTTTTGGGCTCGATTTTGGCGCTATTCCGTCCTTCAGGGCCACTGTGTTTCCCTGTCCGGGAGGGTGCGTTTTCAGCCTCGGGAGGAAGAGCAGCAGCAGCAACAGGAGCAACAGGAGGGTTCTATGTCTCATTGTACAAACAGTGGTATAAAAATTGGTTGAAAACTATAAAAATAAAAACTTGTCCAAAACTATTGTTTTTCTAGGGTTTCAGAAGGGACGTTAGGCACTTTGTGGGCTCGATTTTGGCGCTATTCCGTCCTTCAGGGCCACTGTGTTTCCCTGTCCGGGAAGGTGCGTTTTCAGCCTCGGGAGGAAGAGCAGCAGCAGCAACAGGAGCAGCAGGAGGGTTCTATGTCTCATTGTACAAACAGTGGTATAAAAATTGGTCGAAAACCATACAACCTTGTCCAAAACTATTGTTTTTCTAGGGTTTCAGAAGGGACGTTAGGCACTTTTTGGGCTCGATTTTGGCGCTGTTCCGTCCTTCAGGGCCACTGTGTTTCCCCGTCCGGGAGGGTGCGTTTTCAGCCTCGGGAGGGAGAGCAGCAGCAGCAACAGGAGCAACAGGAGGGTTGTATGTCTCATTGTACAAACAGTGGTATAAAAATTGGTCGAAAACTATAAAACCTTGTCCAAAACTATTGTTTTTCTAGGGTTTCAGAAGGGACGTTAGGCACTTTCTGGGCTCGATTTTGGCGCTATTCCGTCCTTCAGGGCCACTGTGTTTCCCTGTCCGGGAGGGTGCATTTTCAGCCTCGGGAGGAAGAGCAGCAGCAGCAACAGGAGCAACAGGAGGGTTCTATGTCTCATTGTACAAACAGTGGTTTAAAAATTGGTCGAAAACCATAAAACCTTGTCCAAAACTATTGTTTTTCTAGGGTTTCAGAA